AGAGTGATTTGTTGGCGGAGATCTAGGGAAGTTCGTTGGATCAGGCTACGCAGATCAGTAGAAGTCTGAGCGGCTTGTTTCCCCTTAGCGGCCCTCCTGGCGCCGGAAGTAGCAGTAGCTTCCAGTGAGGGCTCAGCTTGGGCGACAACGACAGCAGCACGTCTATTCCTCGCAATTCTCTTTCCAGCCATCGTCAAGAAGAAAGCTTGTTGTAGATCTAGAAAAAGTGGGAGGATCTGACCTGATTCACGGTTCAGCTCTCAACGAGAGCACCAAAATTGATGGATTACCGAACTGGGGGTAGCCGGAATCCAAGTTTTTTTGAAGGAACAACTTTATTATAATATCAGGTGGGATTACAAAATGTAGAAAAGGAAAATTACATCGCAATGAAAAGCTAAAGAGTTAGGTAAGATGTGTGAAAAAACAGCAAAAAGCCATAAGAGTGGGCCTTGGTTGGCCAAGGAGGCCCAGGGAATATTTGATCAGAACATAATGTTGCCAAGAGATCGTTGGACGCTTCCAAAGAGGATTAGGGTTCCAGAGGTTTCCGATTGAGAGAGAGCGGAGTCATACCATCCCCATCCTCATCCACCAAAATGAAAAAGACTCAACCAGTGTCTCTAAAGAAGGATGCGCCATGTTTATCATCGTAATAGGATAAGAGAAGAGCTGATCGGGAAGTACATGTAGATATTTTAGCAGAGTTACAGCAAGAAAGTACAAAATGTGATCCATTTCCACATGTTGGAAGGTGATATTTATAGAAAAGGCAATGCTTGTTGCCCAAGCAAAAATATGTTGAGCTAATAGGGGAAGGACGTGTGTTCAATCTGTTCTAACAAACTAATAGTCTACTTTGATGGAGAGCAGCCGCGTGTAAAGGTGATTGGAGAGATAGTCTGGGACAACTGGCTGATTGGAACCGCTCCAACAAACTGCTACTCGAATGTCCGTGTGGCTACACGTGTCTAATCCAAAATATCGCCCGCTGTCAGGAGTGATGTGGCGGCATCGTTCTGTAATGTAATAATGTCTGTCTTTGCGTATTTTTTCCAAGTCCATAAGGCCTTGGTCAGACCCTGGGCTCTCTGAGGTCAGTATCTGGAGACTCGGGCTCACCACTAGGAATGTGTCTTCTGCCTTTAGTTCCGTCTTCAAGGTCATTGACTCCTTTACTTAGTTCTGGTTGACTCTGTGTTGACGCCTGAGGTCGGAGTCGATGTCGAGCTCGGTGCTTTCAAGGTCGGGCTAGTAACTGGTCGAGTTCGGGCGATTCCTGAGTTTGATGTTTTCCCGACCTCGGGGGTCGAGGTCGGGTTCGGCTGACTTTCTGTCCTTAGCTATTCTGTTGCCTGGCGCTTTGTCCCGACCTTGGAGGGTCGCGGTCAGGGTCGGTTCCTAGTTGTGGACTTATTATTTTTATGCACTCCGGGATAGATCTGTGATGTTTATGTCGGGGATTCTGATACCCTTGGGGTATATGGGAATATACTCCATCAGAAATCATCATTCGTTTTAAAAGTCTATAGATTTGAAAGTCTATAGATTAAAAAGTCAATGGATTAAAAATCTATGGATTTAAAAGTCAATGAACTTTTCTGGAAATCCACGAAAAAAATATCCACAACAATCTAGATATAATACACACCCCTAAAGTAATATATCTCGCCCGTATAAATCTCAATCAAATACTTCTTCCGCCCCATAAAACTTGGCTATTTTGACTTTTCTTGGCAAATGATAGTGAACTTTGACTAATGATATTTTTTAATATGAAATTATTTCAAAATAGAATATTATATGAAAATGTTCTTTGTTAAAAATATATACATAAAAATATAAAAGTTATGAGTTTAACACAAATATAATAACTAAAACCGTTGTTCAATTTTTTTTATCATTGACTAAGAAAGATCAAATTGACCAAGTTTTGTGGGAGAGAGAAATTTTTACTTTACTAGGGAGTATTATACATGTAAGTAAAATTTGGCCAAAGTTTTTTGGGGATGGAGTAAGATATTTTTATTACTGCCTACCTAATGTGCAAGTATTGTGACATGTTGAAGTTAATAGAGGAAATTAACAAAATACGGGGTTTTCCCGTCTGACAATCCAAATTGCGGGACTTGCAATTAGGTTACCAAATCACGGGAGTTGGATTTGGCAAATCCGACTAGGGAGGGCTTCCGAATTAGGGTGTAGAGTACCGACAAAAATAAATAAATACCTAGTCGGAATTGTGGAATCCGACTAGGGGTTTGAATTTTTTTGTTTCCATTATTTGTTTAATCCCAATGAATTAAAAAAATAAAATATAAATAAAACCTAGTCGGAACTGTGTAATCCGACCAGGGTGTTTGAAATTTTTTTGATGTTCAATATTGTGTAATCAGAAGAAATAAAAAATAAAAAAATAAATAAAAACAAAAAAAAAACCTGTCGGATAGCCCACATCCGACTAGGGATGTTGTTTAAAAATTCTATATTTGAAAATACATATATTTTGTTTTATTTTAAGAAATTTGATAAATTAAATTTTATAAATTAAATTTTTATTTAAAGAAATTTTATATTCGAGATAAATTTTGTTTTATGTAAGGGGTAATTTGAGTTTGCACCCCACTTTATTGTCGAAATTAGACTTTGCATCCCGTTTTTGAAATCTTTAGTATTTGCACCCCAACCCCGTATGAAAAGACAAAAATGCCCCTCGATCAGAAATATGTTGAAGGCCAACAAAATTGTTAAGTGAGGGGTATTTTAGTCTTTTCATACAGGGTTGGGGTGCAAATACTAAAGATTTCAAAAATGGGGTGCCAAGCCTAATTTCGACAATAAAGTGGGGTGCAAACTCAAAATACCCCTTTATGTAAACCATAACGTTAGAAGTATTTATTAGATAAAATTGATAATCAGATAAAATTTAATTAGATAAGTTCATCAGATAAAATGAATGAGATAAAATTTTATCATATATAATTCAATCACAATTCAATATTCTATCCAACCATATCTGTACAAAAATAAAGTGACCCAAAATTCAATACTTCATGTGCCAGATTATAAAACCTCCAATTTTACCCAATAAGGACACAATCATTCAAATTTTATGCAATCAGCCTATATCATGAACACGAGTTGTGAAATTGACCATGAGTTCCTTAATATAGAGATGACAATTTAATATTAACACTTATGATTCACATTTTGTAGAACCGGATCATTAAAACCTCAATTCGACCTAGTAAGGATACAATATTATGAAATGCAATTAGCATATATCATGAACATGATTGTGAAATAGAACACGAGTTACTTAATATATAGATGAAATTTTAATATTCATACTTGTGATTCACATTTTTTAGACCCGGATCAAAAAATCCCCTATTCGATCCAGTAGGGATACAATCATTTGTAATGTAATCATCCTATATCATGAATACGAGTTGTAAAATTGACAATGATTTACTTAACATATAGATGTAATTTTAATATTCACCCTTGTGATTAACATTTTTTAGACCCGGGGCATAAAAACTCCTATTCGACCCAGTAGCACCAGTACTAGGAGTAGTAGTATGAGTAACACTAGTAGTAGTAGTAGTAGGAGGAGGAGGAGGAGGAGTAGTAGTAGTAGTAGTAGTAATACCATCACGAATTTAGCCACACATCGTGATTAACCCCTTTATCATTTCCAAATCCTAATTAAAACTATTCCCGACTAATTAAATGTTTAATTCATAATAAATTCGAAACAGATCAAAAATTCGTAGAAAAATAATTAAAAAAATTATAAAATATTAATAAAATAAAAAATTTAAAAAATATACTTTTTAAAATTTTTAGTTTTTTAAAAAATTAATAAAAAATAGTAAAACTCCATAAAAAAAATAAAAAATATATGGATGTCTTTCCCACCGCCTGTACAACCTTCCTGCACCACCACCTCCGGGCGGTGAAAAAAAAAATCCATTTTTCCTAAAAACTGCCATTTTTTTCTGAAAATGCCAAAAACATGGCATATTTCTCTTTGCCAATGCCAACATTTTCATTATTTTCTACCATAAAAATGGCATTCATAATGAATTTGGCATTTTTTCCCCTGGTGACTGGAGGTGATGGTGCAGAGGCGGCAGAGGCGACGGTGAATTTTATTTTTTTGAGTTTTTTTTTTTAAATTTATATATTTTTATTTTTTCAAAAATAAATAAATAAATAAATTATTATTATCGAATAAGTCATAAATTATCTAGGTTAAGATTAAATAAGTCATATTTTAGAATTAACTAGGTTACGGATATTAAGGGCACAAAATTAATGTTTATTCCTATTGAAGGAAATTTTAAGTTTTACTCCAATTTGTGCAATGATGTTTATGTTTACTCCTATATTGGGTAATTTCTATAGTCTAAACTGCACTACTTTGAAAATCAAAACATTTTACAATTCCGCCACTAATTTAAAAAAAAAAGGAATTAGGCCATTTTAAAAATTAAAACAGAAATCAAATTGGCCAATTTAGTTTAAAACTTTAGTTGGAAGAATTAAAAACTTTAATTTAAAACACGAATAAGTTTTACTATTCCGCCGACCCCCTAGTCGGAAGTGGCATATCCGACAGGAGGGAATTTTAAAAAATTTAATTTTAAAACTTTACAATTAATTCCACTTTAGTAGCAACTTAATTTAGGGAATTTTAAAAAGGTTTAAAACTTAATCCACAAACACTCCTTCAATCGGAACTCCTACATCCGACAGGAGTTTTGTTTTTTTTTAAAACTTTAGTTTTAAAAACTTTGAAAATCAAAAACTTAAGAATTGGCAAAAAATATATATATAAAACTTTGAAAATCAAAAACTTAAGAATTGGCAAAAACTTAAGATATTGTCAAAACCTTATCCCTAGTCGGAACCGGGTGTTCCGACTCCCCTCTTTTTGGTAAACCCTAAAAAAAACCCTATTTTAGTAAACCCATCCAAGTTTTCCAGTGTTTCCGTAAACCACCCAAGTTAATATATCGATGCAAAATGCACACGTCTTTGATCTTTCCCCTGGTCTCAAACTGGAGACAGTGGTGAAGCAATCGGAGCGCCGGGAGCGGGGGAATCCATGGATGGGACTAGCAGCAATTCTAGCACGAAGTCCTCAACACTCCGCTGGCAAATCCTTCGCCGCGCGCTTCTTCGTCGTCCTGCATCCGGCCCAGGTTCATTCAATCATCTAGACAGACTTGTATGTACCCCTATCTCGCGTATCATCCATAATATGTGCTGTGCGTAACTGAGTTCTTCACAGATAACCAATCCGACATGGCCATTGAACAAATATCAAGAAAGGCGACTCGTGGTTTCAATTTGATACCCTGCAGTTTAGTGGAAAATTGTTCACAAGAAATTTCTGATTCTCTCTTACGAAAAGACGCATTGCGCAGCTCTGCTCTTCTCTGTTACACATTGCCCCTTCCCAAATCTCCCCAACTTACTCTGCAGTAAGTCTGCAAGTCAAATTCTGACGTTTGAGTCGTTGTTCATAGCTATTGGCTTATTGCCTTGTTAGGCTTCATGTTCACATCTTTGTTATATTGGTTCTCTATTGTCCAATTTTCACTTGTACGTATTTTAACTTGGGAGTTCGGACTTCTTCTTCAAGGTCTGTTTATGATTTGATAAATTAGAGTACTAGTTCTGTAAATTGAAATGAGCCATGTTTGTAATTCTAAAAATAGTACGGAGTATTAAAAACATTTTATTTTCCTTTTGGCATGGAGGGATTTTGGACTTTGGAGTGCATTGTACTAGTAAAGGAACACTAAAAAGTTACAAAGGACTCGGTGTTACTTGTACTTTGTCTCTTTTGTATTCTTAAAGAGGTTGTATGCTTTCCCTTTATTCAATTCATTCTAATATGAATTGGAAGCCTCAAATATTCAAACTATAAGTTCATTAGCCATAAATGGGCACTTGAGAACCACTCTGTTTATCTATTTTTGGAAATGAGCTCCCTCATAAATCTGACGTGAGATGTGGGGGTATTTCCAAACATCTATGCCCTCTTTGTGTTTGAAAATGTACAAACTTTGACGAATGATTATATACTTCACTGTTTCTGCTTATGACTTGCATAAAAAGCATCATTTTTTAGTGTTCGAAATTGAATTGAAGGTGTGGATCTGTTTTTTCCGTATATGTTCAGTAGTTCTTGTTTAGCAATGCTAGTTTCTGACTTTTGGATTCGCGATGCAGCCAGAGAGTGAATGGTATTGTGGATCTCAGTGACTTTGAGGTTTGTAATAGATGTAATATTGACAACACCGGGCTTGTTTGTAAGTGTGTTACTTTTATAACCCGAAAATCAATAATTTCTCTGACAAATGCAAACATTTTAATTTTACTTCATGAATAGTATTCTTCTTTGACATGTCACTTTATTGAACAATAAATAAAAAGTAAAGTAAGAAACGTTTTGGGACATTAGGACTTGCTATTCTCTGATACATGGAATAACTAATTATATTCAGTAATAGATTTTCCAGTTCTGGACAAAAGCAATGCAGTTGAGTGTTGCTTTAAAGTGGAAGAGTGCCAAGTGGAGCCGTGCTGTCTCACATAAACCATCACTTTACCAAAATAGGGATCAAGTCCTCTCTCAGCACCAAAAGAGATTCAAAACAATATACTACGTATTATTTTTCAAAAAGAGAGTCCAGATTGATCATCTGAAACTAATTTTTCATATTTTTTTCTAAAAATGAATTATGAAGTGTACTACTAATATGCTTCTGAACCGTACCATTCAATTCACAATCAGAGAAGTGATACAAAGATTCACTGTATGTACAGAAGTAATGAAGCCTTTGGCAGCCACGTATTTTTATCCAAAGACGCACCAAATAGGTTTATTTTTTATTTGGAATTTTGTGGTAAGTCTGCCAAGGAACTTTTCTTTATTTAGAGAGCTTGCAAGGAGGGGGGGGGATCTATATTGAGTTTCTTAGGAACAGCAACCTCACTTCTCATGGTCACTTCAGATTAATAAACTAAAGACTTGGACAGGGTTGACTCTCAACTCTAGTGCATAGATGAAACACAAGTGTTCATGTCATGCAATTTCAATTTTTTTTGTTTTTTAGGTACCAGTTTCAATGTTTCATATCTTTTTTCTTTAAAAAACAAGTGTATGGGATACTAGTACCAAAGAGTGGTCATATTGATGATATATTTACCTATTGTTGGATAGGTCAATGGCCGTCTGAGGATGTCCTTGCCTACTACTGCTTGTTACATGCTGACATGTTCAGGTTCTTAAACCGCTGAACATCATGTTATGATTCACATTTTCAAACATTTATCATTGTAAATTTTACTCCGCCAGTGTTTGCACTCGTCACCACTTTTAGGGATAAAAGAGTCATTGAAGTTGGAGCAGGATATGGCATAGCTGGCTTGGTTGTTGCGGTAGCCACAGATGCACTAGAAGTGGCAATCACTGATGGGAATCCTCAAGTTGTTGATTGTATCCTTTGTATCCGAATTACTGTGAGAGCAATGTTAGCTCCTGCTTTTTAAGAGTAAAACAAGAGCCCAACAGTTAAAACAATGAGGTTTATGATTACCAAACAAACTGTGAACACACAGATCCGACGTGTCACCTATTTACTGGATAAAATCTAACCCTGAAATTTTGTCTATTCATTTTGTTATCTACTAAAGCAGAGAATTTATGATTTATGAATATTCTAAACATTCAGATATACAGCGTAATGTAAGCACCAATTCAGGCATGTTTGGCGGTACAGCGGTTAAGTCAATGATTCTACATTGGGGTCAGGAAAATGTACCGGATATCTCCAATACCTTTGATTTCATTATTGCAAGTGACTGGTAATTAACATTTAATTCTTCATTCTGTTTTCCCCACTTCTTGTATTTGAACAATCTGCTTGAGGGAGTTGTTGAGTGCATGAAGACTTATGTTGGATACTTGGATGTATTTTAGAAATGAGTAACTTGCTCTTTGTCCTCACTAGTTTTCATTGAGAAATTCTAAAAAAATTGTTGATTATATTATTTTTAATTAATCACATTGAGGTGTTGCCGGTTAGGCGTATGAATAGGAATACTGCATCTAAGTTTGAAAACTGTAACATGTTATTTTTACCTGTTAACGATTCAGTGAGCTGATAGCTTAAACCTCTTGAGCTTTGTAATTATATGACAAACTAAAGCTTATTTGCACAGTCTGAACTCTGAAATGCTAATTGCATGTCTTTATTTATCTGAGATGCTTGGACCTAATAGCCATTTCCGCTCTTTCCTATGTAACATGGAACTGTACTGTTACCAAATCTCTGTTTTTTTGCAGCACTTTCTTTAAGGAATTCCATGAAGCTCTGGCTGAAACCATAAAATCATTGCTAAAGAAAGACAGTCCCTCAGAAGCTCTACTTTTTTGCCCGAAAAGAGGTGATTCATTGGACAAGTTTCTCGGGAAAGTTATAGGCAGTGGATTGAATTTCACCATAGAAAACAATTATGACGCTGAAATTTGGAGGCGTCACCAGAGATTCCTATATGGTGATGAATCCTGGCCGAATTATGAGATGGATCACTGCTATCCTTTGCTGCTTAGAATAAGATGGTGAAAGGTCCAACTCATGGAGGGAGGAAATCGGGTAGATTTTTTTTATTCCTCACATTTTCATTCTTAATACTAATTCGCTCATAATTGAGCAAGCTTTGTATTTTTAAAAGGATCAAATAAGTCTTATTTTGAGAATAAAACAAGCTTTGTATTCTTAATACTCATAGTTGTGCACTTTGTCTAGAGTTATATTTGAAGCAATTTCTTAAAAAAAGTAGTATCGATATAGATTTTTTCAAGTCAATAACTGAAAGTAGGATGGACTTGGGTGGTCCGGTCCCGGTTCCGGGCCGAGACCACCCGGTCCCAAAACAATTCCTAAAGCCCGGGTTTGACCCGCTAAGTTCTGGGTCTGGGCTGGTTCCGGGTACCCGTCTGGTCTCGGTCTCAGACCTATTTTCCCGTTTTTTTAGTTTTTGGCCCAATATGATGCCTAAAGAAACCAGGATCAGGACCGAAATCGGGGTCGGAATTGCTTGGTTCAGTCCTCAAGACTGTAAATCGGGACCATGAACTAGGGATGGATCGGGATCGGCCGACTGGGTCAGGTTGAGGGCCGAGACTGGGCGGGCTCGGGCCTAAAAATTTCAGGCCCGGTACCGGCTCGGGTTTGTATCGGGATTCGACCAGACTCCGGGACAAGACTGGAAAATAAATTTTAAAAAAAGTGCAATCGGGTCCGGGCCCAAAAAACGAGCCCAAAGCCCGCCCTTATAGTCACCGGGCCGGAACTGAGCCTATACATTAACGGGCCGGGGCCAGGCCGGGCTGACCCGTCCCAGTCCATCCCTACCATGAACCGCTCTAGGGAGGAATGGGCCGGCTCTAGGCCCAAAACCGATATAAATGAATCTGGTTGGGTCTCAAATATTGCTTGACTGGTTTCGGGTGGGACCGCCAGACTAGATCCACCCGAGATCAATTTTGTTCACCCTCCTTTGAGAGGGTGATGTTCACCCCTGTAGAAAACGATTTCCAGCTCATGTCTCTGATTTATACCCATAAAGGATATTACTTCACCACTAAGATCACAAGGGGAGGTGGTGTGGCAACAACCTTCAAGCTTATTCTGGCCAATTCGTCCAAGCAACCCCACAGAGGAGAAGAGGAGGGTTTCGGCGTACTCCAACAATCAATGCAGAGGAAGAATAAATAGGCCAGACACAAATCACAGGTAAGGAAAATTACCATAGATCAAAGATTGCACGTAGCTCGTACAAGGAAGGAAGGTGGAAGTTAATCGCGCACATCCAAGAGAGGCGGTGCGAACAAGGGATTGAATAAACCATGGGCCGGGTACCTCTAGGGGAATTGGGCTTATGGAATAGGTTGGACCAATACCTAACACATCTCCATCTTATTAAACCATAGTGGTGTAGAGTCAAAACTCTAATACAAATTTGAGACTCATCATTACTGGATTGCTGAATGATCACAAAGACACATTACAGGAAAAAGAGGAAAAATCACTAGGCAACTTATCCGCAGTCAATGTTTAACGTGCATTTGCACGACAACAATTTTTCGACAGAGAGACATTTAGTCCCCATGTCTGCAGGATTAAACTCAGATGGAATTTTAATCAACTTAATATGACCTACACTAACAATATCACGTATAAAATAAAATCTAACATCAATACAGAGTCGGCTTTGGGGGCCAGGCACCTAGGCAGTGGCCTAGGGCACCCAATTTTTAGGGGGCACATTTTATAAAAGAAATTATTATTATATATATTAATATTAATGTTATTAGTAGATAGACCATCCGGCATTCCGGCTTCCATATACACATAGCGGCCAAGCGGGAGTCCAAATTACAGGAGTAACAAACCAATTAATCCTGCGTCGCCGACCGGATGGCCCAATAGAAAATAGAAACTGCTTGTTCAGTTGGATTTTAAAATTAAAAAATCCTAAGGCAAAGGTCTGATCGGTAATTCAAGGTTATCCACCAATATGTTGCTCGCAATTCAAGGTTATCCCCCAATCCAGCATTCAGATTTCAGATTTGCATTGGGTAATTCGGTGTACTCCATATTTAATACTCCCTATTTTATTATTTGATTTCTTGTCCAATTCGTAAATGAGTTATTCAATTTTTGTCAAATGTAAATGATCTAGTTATTTTACATTTCTACATCCAACTTATTAATTATTATTCACTAAATGTATTAAAATTAAAACTTTGTGTTATACTTCCTACTACGTATGTGTTTTATAATTTTCTTGAAGTTATTCGTTTATCAAATTTAGTTTGAAACTTGTTCTTTTCAAATAGGAGTAGTATTTACTAACTTGTAATATAAATAATTAGTGCTAAACTATTATTTTGTACTACTGTAGTATTTATTATGACGTTGAAATGGAAACAAGAGTCAGTGATTTCAAATAGAAAACTTAAGAAAAGAAAAGAAAAGAAAAGAAAACTTTTATAGTTTAATTTATTTCTTAGAAGAATTTACATTTTCACATACTCCAAGTGAAGTATTGCCTGTTGCATTTAGTAAAAAATGGTATTATAATTTTCTAATTACTTCATACGTATTTAATTTTATTATCAATTTTAAGTATTATGTAATCTCTTTGTCTGGGGCATCAAAAATACTAGAGACGACCCTGCATCAATATGCTTAGTTCTATCATGAAAAACATGGTTTTTACAAAGTTAAATAGCAAATTCACTATCAGAGAACACACAAATGTTCTGTTTAAGACTACCAATCTTCGTTAGGAGACGCTTAAGCCAAATGGCTTCCATAAATGCTTCGCTAGTAGTGGAAAGGGCAACTATAAGTTGAAGTTCAGACTTCCAACTAACGCACGACCCACAAAGAGTTAACACATAAGAGGTAGTGGATTTCTTATTGTCTGATCTAAGCAAAATTAGAGTCCACATACCCACTCAACTTAATATCCTCAGAACACCTATGTTGTTTTTACTTGGACTGTAATTCGTCCCAGACCAAACCAAACCTGACTAAAACAGACCAAACCAGACCAGACCAGATCAGGCCAGATCAGACCAGACCAGACCATATTATTATTATTATTATTATTATTATTATTATTATTATTATTATTATTATTATTATTAGGGGTGTGCACCGGTTCAAAACTGGACCGAATATCATTCTGGTTCGATCCGGTTCCGATTTTTCCGATCCAGGACGGTCCGGTTTTCCGGTTTAAACCGGATAGTGCACACCCCTTATTATTATTATTATTATTATTATTATTATTATTTTATTATTATTATTATTATTATTATTATTATTATTATTATGGGTGTGCACCGGTTCAAAACCGGACCGGACCGCACCAAACCAGACCGGATATCATTCCGGTTTGATCCGGTTCCGGCTTTTCCGGTCCGGTTCGGTCCGGTTTCCGGTTTAAACCGGATAGTGCACACCCCTAATTATTATTATTATTATTATTATTATTATTATTATTATTATTAGGGGTGTGCACCGGTTCAAAACCGGACCGGACCGAACCGGACCGGATATCATTCCGGTTTGATCCGGTTCCGGTTGTTCCGGTCCGGTTCAGTCCAATTTTCCGTTTTCAACCAGATAGTGCACACCCCTAATTATTATTATTATTATTATTATTGTTGTTGTTGTTACTATTATTATTATTATTATTGTTGTTGTTGTTATTGTTATTATTATTTGTAATTGTAAATGAATAAAATATACGGAGTAAATATTTATGGATTATAATATATATAAAAAAATAAAATATTTATGCAAAAAATATAAAAAATAAAATTTCAGATCAGACCAGACTAGACCAAACCAGACCAGACCAGACCAAAACAGACCAGACCAGACCAGATCAAAACAAACCAGACCAGACCAGACCAGCAAATTACAGTCCAAGTAAAAACATCCCTAGTAAAAACTAACTCATGATTAACAGTAGATTTCAAGTACCTTAGCAACCACTTAAAAGCACTCCAATGGGGTAAACCGGGGTTAGGCATATACCTATTTAAACAACTAACATCATAGGCAATGTCGGGTCTAGTACTCACCATGAGATACTGCCTCTCTAGACCACCACCTCCGACCAGTGTAAAAATGTCATTTTTTCTAAAAACTGTCATTTTTCCTGAAAATGCCAAAAAATGGCATATTACTGTTTCAGAATGTCAAAATTTTCCTTGATTCTGCCATATAAATGGCATTCGTAATAGATGTGACATTTTTTTCTGCTAGTGACTGGAGGTGGTGGTGTTGGGGCGGCAGAGGCGGCGATGATAATTTTTATTGCATTTTTTATTTTATTTTTTTGTTTTGTTTAAATATTTTTTTTTAATTTTTATTATTGAAATATTTTTATTAATATTTTAGTATTTTTTACGAATTTTTGTTATTTTTTATTATTTTTTTATTAATTAAAACATTTCAATAGCAACAAGGGTATATTTGTCCAACACACACATAATTGGTCCTATTAAAACATAGTTTACTTTTGAGAATATTACGCGAAATAGGACTAAAAAGGTTTGAAAATTCCAAAATAGGACTGCCATGTTTTTAATCCCAAAACAGGACTAATTATTGTCATGTTTTGGCAGTACTAGACTTCAAACATAACAGTATTTTCTAAACATGGCAGCAATTACTCCTATTTTGGAAATAAAAAACATGATAGTCCTATCTTGGAATTTTCAAATTGTTTGTCCTATTTCAGGAACTTGCTCTTTACTTTGTAGTCCTATTTGTGCAAAGTGAGAAGCTTTTAGTCCTATTTTGATAATTAACTTAAAAATATTTGGCGATAACAATAGCAAATTGCATTTATATTTTTTTATATGATTCATTTGAATAAAATTGTGAATATTAGAACATTTGCACCATTGACTATGATATGTCTGTATTACAACTCGCATTTGATGCGTGTTGGGATCGGTTTTTGATGTTTTTCCTAACTCTTAGGTGTCACAAATCTCAATTTTAGCTCAAGTTATGTTTACCAGACGTTGGTTCGAGTTTTGTATTGTTTGGAGTCAAAATCAATGGAATTAAAGTTCGGCACCGGCGCTTGAGAAGAAATCGGGACGTATCAAGATGAATTCGAGAGAGATTTGAGAGATTTGGAGGTCTCCGGGAGGTTCACGGTGAAGAATTGATGAAGAGAAGACATTTGGGATCGAATTGGGAGCATTCGGGAGCATTTGGAAGAAGAAACGAGAAGAAAAGAT